CACGCGCGGGGCCTTGAAAGCGACGACTGCTTCGAGGATGGAAGCCTTCCCGTTGAGAAGGAGGGCGCGGTGAAAGTTTGAAAAAGTAACGACAGTGTCGCACTCGAGGCCCAGAACCGTCCCAGGCGTCCCGCGGCACGAGTCCCGAGTCCCAGTCTTGCACATTACGGTGCGATCTGCCCGCTCCCCGCTGTCACGCCAGATCCCTGGAGGTTTTTTGTTTTCGATGTCGCCGGTAAGACACACTCCCCCTCCCCTTGTCGGCGGTGACGGAGAGCAGGCGGCGAGGGTGGGTGGGTTGGCGGGGTGACTGGGTGGCTGGTTGGGCTGGCTGGGTGACAGGTTGGCTGGGTGGCGGGGTGGCCCCGGGTGGCGGGGTGGCTGGTTGGGCTGGTTGACGGGGGGGTGGGCGGGCTGTCCGGGTGACGGTGTGGCTGCTTTGGCGGGCTTGCTGGCTGGTTGGCTGGGTTGCGTGTTAGCTCTCCTCGCCTCCCCTCCCCTCCCTCCTCTCCCTCCCCCCCCCCCCTCATCCTCGCTTCCTCCCTCCTCCTCCTCCTCCCCTCCTCCTCCTCCCCCCCCTCCTCCTCCACAATTACTCAATATGAATACTACTCTCCCTCTTCCCCTGATGACGTGCTGGGAGTGTTCGACCCCCCCCCGCGTACTGTTTTTTTACACACAGGATTCCCGGGAGTTGGGTTTTCGCTTGCATTTGTTTTCAAAATGCTGCTCTCGCTGAGACGCCGGCCTCATTTTCGGGCCCCGCTCGTTCCGAATCGTGCTCCCGCTGCAGCGCTGGCCTCATTTCCGTGCTTCCGCTCGTTCCGAATCGTGCTCCCGCTGCAGCGCTGGCCTCATTTCCGCGCTTCCGCTCGTTTCGACTCGTGCTCCCGCTGCAGCGCTGGCGTCATTTCCCGTGCCATGCCACGGCATGCAATGCAATGCTAGGTTGATACTGCGCTTTGCGGTGCTCTTCTACGCCATGCCATGCCGTGCTCTACAATGCATCGCGTACCCTTTCGTGATCATTGCCCTGCTCGACATCCGACGGTGCGAGTAGAGAGGGGATCTACGCCATGGTAAGGGATGGGAGGGATGGGTAGGATGTCAGATATGACGCGAGCGCACCTAGCTTGCCTCCCTCCCCTCCCTCCCCCCCTCGTGCCAAGCCGCGCCCCCCTACTCCCTCCGTGCTCGTCTCCCCCCTTGCCTCCCCCCCCCATATTCGCACCCGGAGGGCTCCCCACAGGTCATCTCAGAGGTCCTTGGAGGCCTGGAGGTCTCCAGATGACCAAAGGCCTGACAGATCCTCTTGCCCTTGCCCCTTCCCGCCTCCCCCCTCCCCCCTCCCTTGGAGAAAGGATGAAGCGGCACCACCTCTGGCGGACCGCCTCCGACGAGGAGGTCCTCGGTGACCTGGGCGGGAGGTCCGAGATGGCTCGAGCGGGACGCCGCAAGGCGAGGGGACCACGTCAGGAGGCCCCTCAGTGGTCACTAGCGATGTTCGAGGAGAGAACATCAGCTTAAGCATACACTTTCGAAGGTACACGCTTGTTTCTTGGATCAGCGCTGGAACCTGCTCCCTGGCGCGCGAAGCGCGCAGGGGGCGGCGGCGCTGGCAGGGGCCGTCAGGGGGGTCCAGCGTCAGTCCAGGAAATCCGCGCGGAGCTCCGACAATTCATGTTCATGCCGTGTTTTGCTTCTAGATTTAAGCCGGGCCTGTCCCTCCACAGGGGGAATATTCAAAAGTAGTCAAAAAATTGTCTGGGGACTATTTTTGACCATTTTTGAATATTTTTGGCGCATTGTTGGTGTATTTTTAATTTTTCCTCCATAATCCCCCTGTAAGGGGACATGCCCGACCTAATTCTAGATGGTGGCGGTGCCGACTTCTTCCCTATCTCTACCCTCGTCACCCCCTCCACCTCCGAAGGCCTCCGAAGGCCACCCAGAGGTCCCTGGAATTCTGCAGGAGCACCGCTGCCGTGGAGCGTTTCGGTGGTGTTGTCTCTGTGTCCCTTCCCACCCCATCACAGGCAACGTTAGGAGGGATAGGCTCAGGGGGGAAAGCATCGACCCCCAATCGCCCATCCATCGCCGATGGGGGCCTGATAGCCCACTCCGCCCAGGAGCGTGCCGCGTTCGCAATCGAGGGCATATTTTCGATCTATCGGCGATGTAAAGCCGATTTCAGCTCGATGTTCCCCCTTCTCCCTCAGCCGTTCCCCCCTATCGTTGGCCCTCGCTGTTGCCGCCCGCGCGAACGGGAATGCGCGTGTTCCGCAGCATGCGCTCCACGTGCTGGCATGGAGCCGAGCCCCCGTCGCCGCGCTGCCAGCATGCCATGATGCCGAGCATCCCATCGTGCTTCAAGTTATCACGTCGACGTGCGTGCCCGTTTACGTCCCCTCGAGGAACAAGCAGGAACTTTTCGAAGCTCCGTGAGGGCTTCTCGGGTCCGCGCTGGGCCCCAGTTGCCGCAGCCGGCGCGATCCGCGCGCCGGGGAGACGGGGTCCAGCGCCGATTCGAGGAAGCCCCACGGAGCTCCGACGGTTTCCATTTGTGCCGCTTCTCC